ATTTTTATAGTGGATTGGGAAATCACGTATTCAGACAGCTCCTGGATATGTAAAAATTGAGCTCTCCAGTGCTTTCTGACTCATTTCTTTCCACTAATTCCTACTTACGTCCTTCATGTTAATCCTTTGGGATGGAGAGCTTTGTTTTTATCCCCAGGTAACCACAGGCATAGTCCAGTTCTTATTAAAACTCCTTACTTCAAGGGAAATGTGATAAAGCCACCTAGAAGAAATAAATATCAATGCTGAACAAGGTAATGAAGAACTCTGACTTCATCAGTGTCAAAATTTTACAGCCTGACTCACATGTGGGCAGAGGAATTTTCCTGAAACCTCCAGGGACCTTTATTGTTTGCTCTTTGATAGTCAGTATGATCTTGATGTATGTGCACAAACAGAAATCTCAGTTCCTAGCAAAATTGTTTCCCATAATGTCCTTTAAAGGGTCACAACTTCACTGCTGTGTCTGCAAACAGAAGGAAATGCTGTTCCTTAAAAAGGAACTTTTTTTGCTCTTGTGATCACGCAGATGTTCCCACTGAGGTAACTCAAGAGCATCAGGGTCACCATTTGAACCTTCGTCCACTGCAGCTGAATCTTCAGCTCTTGTTTCTTTCTAATACTGATTTCTGTGCTGTGTCACAGGTGTCATACTTTCTCTTTTCTTTCCTGTTTTGTCTATTTCTCTTAGGGCACAGTTCCTATCTCTCTTCATGTACACTCAAATTCAGACTCTCTTACAAGGGAGAAGCAACATTTGAAAGGCAAAACCTAGCTGATACCTTGTGTTTGTGTTAATTCCGCTCTACTGTTCAGATTACAATCCTGCTTAAATTACAGTGAAAATCTTTGGAAGATACCTGGTTTATGGTCTGAGAACTTTCTGGACAATTTTGTACTCTTATTAATTTTTAATGCAATGTTAATGTGCTTCTGTTGCTCATTTTTGTGTACTGTTCCACACTACATATTTACTTTAGGAACCCAGAATTTAGGACCCTGCTCAGACTGTGGTACCAGAGTAACAACAGTACTTTTTTCAGTACTTTCTGGAAAAAAATATCTTTTTTAGCTCTTTAGTATTTGTAATGTTTTATTCCCTCAAGACTTAAAGTAACAGTCTGTTTTGCATTCTTGTATGTCATCAACACTGCGAGATTTAAAACTTGTTCTTCTGGTAGAGGATTGTGTGTGGGAAGTTATGCTACTTAAGAAATTGTGGTGAAAGCCTTTGAAGAGGTGATTGGTAAGGAACATTCAAATCTGGCTGAAGGAAATCTTTTACTCTCGTAAGCATCAACAGCAACTTCACAGGCTACTTTGGATACCATTCCCAGGGACAGTGGGCAGGAGAGCTCCAAGGAGGAGATTGAGGCAGTGGTTAACACTGCTGCTTGTCAGTGGATCCCACTACTGGGAGCTGGGAAGTGAAGAGCTTGGTCAGGCTGTGGTTCCATCATTTCAGCGTTCGCCTGGGCTGTTGCCTTCCAGTTGAGAGATCAGTGTGCTGTAGGACACTGTCTAGACCAAAGCCTAGGCCTTAAGTTCAAGTCTCAACACAATTTAAAACTAACCTTGCTTATTTATCAGGCTGGCCTCTGGCAAGGTCTACTTTTCCCTTCTTTCTCCCTTGGATTTCTTATGAACTTTATGGTACTGAGGTCCATTTGGCTCAAAATTCTTCAATTTGTTTATGACAACCATCTTAGGAATTTGAAAACGCTTGTTGGCTGTGGTGCTCCTGAGCGGGTGAAGACTCCAGCAGGACTTCATGTACTTACTGGAAGAGCCCCTGAAAAGCTAATGGTGCTGCAGGTAGTGATATGGCTGTAGGGTTGTTGAACTGCTGTAAATAAGGCAAAATACTAACATGAAAAGAAACATGGAAATTAGTTTTTGCTTGCTTGGCTTTAAGAAATTTCCCTAATGTTGTGACTTTGTGGTTGATTTGGTTCTTGCAATTCCTTTGATTGCAAATTATTTGGTAATTTGCCTGTTACCCTTAATTTTTGAAAGGGCGAAATTGTTTAATTCTTGGATTCAGGGTTTACCGTTTAATTTAGCTAACTGTGTTAAAAGGTACATAGTTTTAGCAGGACTAGATGGATCCAGAGAAAGAAATAATTGTCCATAAGAAGGGGATGGCTGTTTTCATGCAATATGGTTTTCACTGTAAAGTCTGATGCTATTTTGCTTGACACCTTGAGGACATGTACTAATTGAAATACTTTGTGTAGTTTTGGGGGGTTTCCACATCTAGGGTTTTTCCAGCCCTTAAGTGCTAGAAGTGGTCTGTACAAGGAAACTGTGCTGCAAAAATAAATTATGCATTTTTTCTGCATGTAGATTGTGCTGTGTGGGTGAACAAGAGAGACTATCCATAATTCCTCTGACATAATTAATCCCTTATGCAAGGTACATTCTTCTTACTCCTTCTTTCTCCTTTTCAACAATATCTTAGTTGTAGAAGTAGCCAGTTTGTAGTTAATGTAAAAATGTCATGGTTTATAATATGCTGTGCAAGATTGGATTAGCATACAAATTCCGTAAGACAAGTAATATGATTGTTCTAGTACTCTGTTGCTGTAGCAAATTTTGGGGGCTGGATTTTGTATTTTAGCCATCTGGAGGGGGAGAACGAAGGAGGATATGTGTTCCATTGTGGTTTCCAGACCTCAGTATAATCAGGATTTGGATAAAAACAAAGTAGGTCATGGCACATCTACTGAAAAATTGGAGACTTAAAAACTCACTTGCAGTGCAACTGAAAGCACAAATTTGAACATGAGATTTGAGGAAAAGGTATAAAAGCTCCCTCCCCTACACCCCAATCTCCCTTGCCCTTACCCAGTGTTCCAAAACAAGAGCATAACTATTCCTCCCCCTCCTTTTTTTTTCCTACCTTCCAGATCATTGGTTAAAGAATTTCTTTTACTGGAGGAAAACAAATTAGAGGTTATACGAAACTGCACAGAAGCAATTCTCCGTAAACTTTGTCTAATGTTTTTGGAACTCTATTCATTGATTTTTTGACCTCTGCAATGTCATATAACACTTAATGCCAATTATTTGCTGTGTAGGAAAGTATTTAAACTACATGCATGATTTTTTTTTTTTTATGGGAAATCCTCATTTTCTGCGTTATGAGAAAGTAAATAGTTGTTTCTGGGTTACTTTCTCTGTACTAGGCATGAATTTAGAGACATCTGTTTATACCTTTTTTCAATTATTCACCAGCCTGAGAAATCCCACAATTCTTCCCCATGCAAAAGTTATGCATACTTCTGAGCATTCTCACCAGCTTCCTTTAAACCTCTTTATAGTATACTCTGCACCTTTTCAAATGTATTTCTTGGGCAGTTGCTGGAGTTTCACTAAGTGTTAAAGGTGTTGCGAGCCTTGAATTTCATGTTCTAGCTTGATGTTTTCCAGTTATGTTTTACTGACAACGATGAACACTGTCTCTCTTCTGGCCACCGTGGAGTAGTGTCCTGAAGTTTGTCAAAGGACTTACTACACTGACTCAGAGATCTATTTGAAGTTCTGTTCCTGACTGGTGATAGGCTCCAAGTTACTTTCACAGTGTGCATGTTCATATGCAGATGTGTTTTCCTGATACACATTGAGCTGTACTTTTCAGCATGAATTTATTCTGCCTTTCCTATTCCACAGTTGTTTACAAGGGTTTCATGACGCTGTAACTCATGGTGGTCAGTAGCTTTGTGCAGAAAATTAATGTAACCCAATCACTTCCAAATTTTCTATAAAGGGAGGCTCTGTGCAAAGAGACTGTACAAAAGGAGTTGATTCTTAAATGCTCAGAAGAGCGTAGTTGGCTTTTTTTTATCCTTCTTTGCCCCCTTTATTCAGTCACACTTTTATTCTGTAGTGACCTAAGGCTGACTCTGATGGCTGGTTGACTTCTAATGTGTTTTATCTTTTTCTCAATGGAATTTTGGGGAGTAAAGTCAATGTGCTATAGCAAATTCTACGTGTAGCAGGTATTTTGGGAAAATTGCAGTTCTCGACAGGAAAGGAAAACACTGTTTGTCTGTCTTCTGCCTCATTTCCCTTAGTCCTTTTGCAACTATTGAAGAACATTGTTTACTTCCCAGAATTTAAAAAAAAGTAAATTTTGTGTTCCAAGAAATGAATTTGAAGGAGATTGTCAAGGCTTAGTGGGAAGTGCTGGTAGATACTGGCTGAATCACGAGGAGGGAGAAATACTCTGTCACTAACTGTTGAGTTATTGAGTGATGGTCAGGGCAACTTAAAATGTAAATTACTCTTAAAATCTAGTTAAGAGTTCTTTACATTGTGTGTGGTTCATATTCTGAAAAAAAAGTGTGAGTACTTGTGGTGAGATGGATGCATATTGATACAGGCTATATACAGCAGCATTAAAGACAACAAATCTTTTCCTGTAAAGCCAATAGCATGTGGCATAGGACTAAATTGCTTACAAAATCCTTCAAAACCTAGGAAGAAGATGATTACTGACTTTGATCCAGATTTCTGAACTGGATGTGCTTGAAATTGTGTACTGAATTTATAGGAGTAATAAGTTCTACTGTTTCAAATTCTGCTAGAACTTATTTTTTATTTATAAATGGTTGAATAGGTGGAATGGGCCATCTGTGGATGCAAACAGGGTAGTTGTTCATATGACGTAAATAAACTAGTATACAATTTAATGAAAAAGCAAACTTTTTTTTTTGCTTTCTGCAACTGTGAATCCTGTGTCATACTCACTCACTTGTCTTTACAGATTCCCTGCTCTGAAATTGAACAAGCAGTGAGCTGAGCTGTTCTGTAGTACTGTTGCACTCTTAAGGAAAAAATGGAAATGCTGCAAATAACACATTTGTGGTTTTTTTTTACCTTCAGTGCTCTATCCAAACTTGTGAAATTGGCTTAAAGTTCCTAAAACTCTTTTACTCAGTTACTAACGTAGCTTCCAGCACGCTAACTTTTTGTTGTGTTTAAACCTTTGCCAGGACGGGAGCAGTTTCATGGCCTCGGGTCTATGTACTGCAGAGGAGCAGCTGCTGTGATCCTCACGTATGATGTGAACAGCCTCCAAAGCCTGACGGAGCTGGAAGAGAGATTCTTGGCACTGACGGATAGTGCGAGTGCTGACTGCATTTTTGCTATTGTTGGAAATAAAGTTGACCTCACTGATGACTGTGCTTTACCACCGGATGAAAATAGACCTGAGAAGCCGGTTGCCAGCTGTGGCTCGAAGGTGCGAAAACAAGTCCGTGCAGAGGATGCAATTGCGCTCTATAAAAAGATACTGAAATACAAAATGCTAGATGAGAAGGATGTTCCAGCAGCTGAGAAAATGTGCTTTGAGACCAGTGCAAAAACAGGATACAAGGTGGACTACCTCTTTGAAACTGTGTTTGAGATGGTAGTCCCAATAATTGTCCGACAGAAAGCTGAGGGGCCACCGCAAACTGTAGACATTACTGACTACAAGCCAGCAAAAAGGACAAAATCTGGTTGTTGTGCCTGAACCATTGACGTGACGTAGGAAAAGGGGAGGGATTGTTCGCTCCAGCAAACTGAGGAATACGAAGTGCTTGCAGTTCACCAGAAAGGAAAAGTCAAACAATGAACAGATGAAATAGCGTATCTGAAAAAAACAAGTCTTCTGACCATTAAAGGTTTCTAGGAGGCTGTGTGTATGAAAATGGGAATGTGAGTGAAATTATGGAGGAAGACTTGCCTGTTTTCGAGGGCTCTGAAGGCAAATGGTGTGTTAGTACAATTGGTAGCGACAATTGTTTGAACGGTTTTGAAGGAGTCTGATTTTTAAGGACTCGTCATGTCATCTTGCATGTAAATGATCTATTTGTGTATTCCTGACAGCTTTCACATGATGATCGTCTTTCCCCTTGTGATTCTAACTTTGGAAGATTGAACACATGGTACTTTTTTATTCTTAAAAACCCCAGAAAATCCAGGTATAATTTATATTTGTAGCTAATAAATCAATTACAATCTCTTTACTTCAGATATGACAGTGTAAGATTCAGAAGCTGTACTATTAAAATCACTGTGGATATGTACTGTTCATTTGGAGACTTTATTAACGTGAATCCTGCTTCCATAGTGGGCTTTCATGTACTAACAGGCAGCATCACAGCTCTAATTCTAAGCTGCAGGAGAAAGTTTTTTCCTTCATTTTTCCTTGTAATTTTTTTTAATATAAATAGCGAAGCTTTTTTTGGAAGGAAGCGGTTTTCTATTTTGTCTGCGTTTTGTAGAGACCTCTTTATGGTCCCTGTAGGGCAGCATGGTGTTGGATTCCTGTGTTCTGTCTCCCTTCCAACTCCTCCTTAGTGTTGTGCCCAGGCAAAGCTGCAGCTTTGATTTTTAGCAGCTAAGCATGACGTTACCATCTCCCTGGAGGGAAGCGAAGACTGGCAGTTTCTGATGTGAAACTGGCTGATGCTGGAGGAACGGAAGAGAAGCTTCCTTCTGTGGAGTAGAAAGGCGCTTGAAGGAGCACTAATGAGGTGCGTGGTTTCTCTTTGGACTGCAGTAAAAAGGGGAGACTCATACTCGATACTGCTCCTAGAGCTTCCCAGCCCTCTTGGCTACAAAGAAGGCATGCGGTGACCCAGAAGCTCACACTGAGACACAGTAATCAGAGTCAAGAACTACTAGTTTAAAAATAAAATAAAATACCAAACCAAACCAAAACACTGCCTCCAACCCCTCCCCCCCCCAAAAAAAAAAAACCCAAACCTCAAACAACCTAAACATACAGGTTAACTGGGTGATC